GTCGACTCGCAAATGATGCTCAGCCAGTCCCCTGGGTACACCTGGCATGTTAGAAGGTTCCCATGCAAAGATGTCCCAGTTCTCACGGAGGAACGAGATAAGCGCTTCTTCCTATTTGCTGTCGAGTGTTGTTGAGATATGGGTCGGAGCGGCATTGGCATCGGTCGGGTGAATATGAATCGGCTTCGTTTCACCAGACGACTGAAATGTGAAATCTGTGGCAGGCTTCTTGGCTCGCAGCAAATCACTCGGATCCGCATTCTTCTGATACTCTTGTAGTTCTACTACTGCCATCTGTGCATCGACAATTTTTGAGCCCTTTTGGAAGCACTCTTCCGCCTTCTGCCGATTGCCAGTGACGGTGATTACTCCTTTAGGACCAGACATCTTCAATTTGAGATACATGTAACATGGTCAAGCCATAAAACGTGCATAAGCGGGCCTACCCAGAATAGCATGATAAGCACTCTTGAAATCCACTACCTCAAATGCCAACTTTTCCTTGCGGTAATTCTTGGAATCACCGAAAACCACATCAAGGGCGATCTGGCCGAGTGACTGAGCTTTCTTGCCAGGAATAACGCCATGGAAACTCATGTTGCTTTCACTAAGCTTGGACATCAGAATGCCCATTCCCTTCAAGGTTTCAGCGTAAAGGATGTTCAGGCCACTGCCACCATCCATCAGCACTTTAGTCAGTCGAGTGCCTTCAACTACTGGGTCGACCACCAGTGCTCGCCTCCCAGGGGTGGCTATATGAACTGGATGGTCTGACTGGTCGAATGTGATGGCAGTCTGGGACCACTTCAGATAACTGGGTGTTGCAGGAGCAACCATGTTTACTTCCCTGTTAATAACTTCCAACCGACTTTTGCTTTCAACATCAGCAAAAATCATCAGTGTAGAATTTACATTGGGAAAACCATCATCATATTCTTCCCTATCCTCACCTGCGTCCGACTCCTTTTCCTTCTCCCTGGGTTGTTTCTCTCGGAACTGCTGGATAAGGAAATGACATTGTCGAGTCGTGTGTTTAGGGTAAATGATGTTCCCCTCTTTGTCTTTTTTGGTATGAATATGACATGGTAAATCCAACACATCATTTCCATCTTTATCCTTAACTTTTTTGGGAGTCCAGGGCTTTCCTTTGAACTTTCCTTAGGCAACAGCTAAAGCTTCGCCAGGAGCGGCTGGTTCAGCCTTTCGCTTCTGTTTTCGACTGGAATTCCCTCCTCCGGTTTCTTGGGCAACTGTTTTGTGTTTGCCACTCCGGAGTTGGTCTTCCTATTCACCATTGGCATATTTGGTGGCAATCTCCATCATCCGAGTCAGAGTCATATCTCCTGTCCGACCAAACTTCAGATTCAACTCCCAATACTTGACGCCTTCCTTGAAGGCACAAATTGCTTGGTGATCTGACACATTCTCCACTTTATGGTGCAACGTGATCCATCTCTGGATATAATCCCTCAAGGTTTCATTCGGTTTCTGAACACAACACTGTAATTCTGTCAACCCTGCCGGCCTTTTGCAAGTGCCTTCAAAGGTCCTGACAAACACTCGAGCAAGTTCCTCCCAACTATATATACTGCCAGGAGCCAACTGATTCAACCACGCTCTGGCTGAGCCCTCCAACATCAAGGGGAGGTGCTTCATAGCCACATCATCATTCCCGCCATCAATCTGCAGAGCCACTCGGTAGTCCTCAAGCCAAGTGTCTGGCTTGGACTCGCCGGTGAACTTGCTGACTCCAGTCGCCAACCTGAAGTTGGGAGGAATCACTGCTGCTCTGATGGCTCCGCTGAAACACTCGGGTCCTGAAACATGCACCTTGCTTCCAGTCGGATGATCTCTATCGTGGCCTTCTCTGTGAGCCCTGTTCCTATCAACCAGACCTTGAACGAGGATAGATCTTGCATCAAAGCCTGGATCTCTGGGATCGACTGGAGTTCTTCGTTCGCCATTGCGGGGGCGCCTGTCATCTTGCCGCCAAGGCACGTATGACCCACTCCTCGGAGGAGGCGTGGGCGCTCGACGACGGTCATTGTGGTCGAGTCGATGATCATACTGCTCACGGTTCCTGTATTGATCTTGCTGGTACCCACGTCCCTCACACCGCGGAGGCGATCTTGGGCTGTGAGCAGATTGGACAGTATCTGCCACCACATATCTGCTATGAATCCTATTCCACGACTGAGATACTGCTGTATTCTGCTCTCCCGCTACCCGGAGCAAAGCCCGGATCTGCATCAAACCTCAGCCAGCTTCTGATTGGGAAGGTTGAATTGACTATGCTATTCGGGCTGCAACTGTGAGATTCTGGATCAGAGTTCGGTATACCTGAGTCGGAGGCGGAAAAAGTTGTCGTCGACTGGATTCAGGAATCCGCTGCCGGGCACGCTCATCGAGGGCGCGCTGGAGGTTCTCCAGTCGAGTGCGCTCAGCCAAGTTGGCTAGGCGCGCCTCCTCCAAGGCCTGGGCCTCGGGGGTTTCTCCAACGATAGGAGTGTGAAGTGCATCCATATTGCTGCGGTGAAGATCTTCCTTCCGCTGCGAAGAGAAGGGATAGGGGCGGTACTCCTCGTGGACATGTGATGGATCGCCGACGCCATCGCCACCGTCTTCACGGGTGAAGCCAGGAGTACTGCGTGGTCCATTGACCATCAATACTTCCACCGCGGGGTCGCTGCTGTCGCACTCGGATGCTGTCTCGACGGAGCCAGTCGACAGGTCGAACAGGCCGTAGAGAGTTTCATCGGGCTCGATTGCCGCGATTTGTGGGGTGGCCGATTGGCGGGCCGCATGCTGCACCCACCGCTGAAGCCGTGGCCGACTGGATCGCTGGCGCCGGCGAACAACGGGAAGCGAGGATGCCGTAGGAGCCGACCGATACTGAGTCAACGGCTGTCGAAGAAGGACACCACGGATGCATGCGCGGAAGTGCGTCGCCTCATGGACGGGGAGCGCCTCGACGTCGAGTGGAGCCTCGTGGAGCCAAGCGGAGTCGTCGGCGATGAAGACAAGCGCGCCGAGACGGATCTCGCGGCCTTCAGCCAATCCTCCACCGGAAACCATGATGATGGGAATCGGAAGAATCACAACTTCTGCAATAAACTGCTAAGACACCTGCCCCAAGGTGGGCGCCAACTGTCGTGGTTCTAAGACTGACAGTAGAATGGGGGGTAGGTATGAAGAGGCAAGATCCTAGCTATGGAGTAGTTGTACACACGAGTTTTACGAGTTCAGGCCCTTCTCGGAAGAAGCAACAGCCCTACGTCTCGGTGCCCTGAGGCGGCCGATTGGATTATATGTGTGTGTGTGAGTTTACAAAAGATGCGAACCCTTGTGCCTGTGGAGGGGGGTGGCTTATATAGAGTGCGCCAAGACCCCAGCCGGCCCATGTTACGAAGGGTTTAAGGTACATTAAAGGGGAGACGTTACTGGTAACGCTAGTAAATAAAGAGACATAATGACCATTAAAGCTATGAGGTGATGTCCGGCCGTTGTAGTCCGGAGCGACCTTAGACCTTCTGGTGGTCGAGTGACAATCTCCGCGGTCGAGTGACTTCAAGTCTGCTGGGTGGAAGTCCTCATGGTCGAGTGGATGATGACTCCTCTTCGAATGCTTCCGTTTTTAGGGTGACGTCCTAGGGAAGGGTGTCTAGGTCAGGCCTATGACCCTACCCTAGATACATATCTTTATCAGGTAGTTCATATTGGTAGGGTTTCATGGTTGACTTATGTTGAATGGCGTGTGTGGGGGCTGCTATGGGGGTCATGCCCTCGATTTTTGTGGTCAGTTCCATGTAGAAGAGATTTTGGATTGTGTGATACATATTGTCCCCAAAACTAGAATTATGGTTATGAGATAAAAAAGGGTAAGAAGTTTGTGTTTTTTTAAGTGACTAGTGTCCTAAAGATTGGGATCCCTTGATGGGTTTTATATCAGTGTTCAATTTTATTGTCTATAGGGCAATTTGACATTGTTGCAAATTCATACATTAGTTACTCACAACATTTCAAACTTAAAATATCATGTCTAAATAATATGAATTTTAGAACCAATTATATCGCAAACTGCATATCTATGATGCAATTTTACATAACCTATGCAACCAAGAAATATATGAAATATAGAATTGAACACATGCTACATGACGTATTCAGAAAAATATATGAAACCTAAATTTTGTGATATGAATGATTCGATTTGTAATTCTATGAAATTGTATTTTAGACCAACAAATAGGTTCTCAAATCTGCAGTCTTGTGATTGTTTTTTTTTCTACGAATAGTCTTGTGATAGTTGTAATTCGAATATTCAAATGTGTAGTTTTTTTAGATTTTATTCCATGTAATAACACTCTAACAACTACACGTTGGCTTAAAGATTAAGAAGCAACAATGAGTCATTTTGACATTAGAGTATTGAGAAGTTACGTTACAACGTTAATCTGGAGTGTCTTCTCTTTCGCAGAAATGCTAAAAACCGGACATCATATTTTAAGGCATATGACAAATCAAACATATTTTTATGACAATTTATATTGACATGAGGATGGCAAATTTAGTTGGCGAGCACAACAATTTTCTAACAATAAAATGAACTGCCGCGAATTTGACATGGTCATCAACTAAACTTGCCACGGCAAACATAATTTGCCATGATTTTTTTTGATTTGCTATGCTAAAAATCTGACATCTGCTGGATATTCGGGTCCTTTTTTTTTTTGAAAAGCCAACCGATTTAGAGTATGTATCTGTTTTAGCAAAGTTGGTCTAGATGCGAAAAATCGGTCGAGATTAGTGTTGATCTCGGCTGGTGATTTCACTAGTCCGCGCAGGTGCGAAGCCCGGATTCAGCCCGCTGCTCCCCTCTCCTCTCCCGTCGTCGGAGCCCCGGCGACCCCTCTTCCAAGTCGCCATCGTCCTCACCTCCAGCGCCACTTCCTCTTCTCCACCACTCGACCCAGCCTAGCAGCGAGTCGGCGGACGGGAGGATGATGGGAAGCAACAACCCCGGCGGCGCAGGGGGAGGGGGAGGGGGAGGGATGGCCCCGGGCACGGGGGGCGGCGGCAGCGACGGGCGGCACGACGACGAGGCCGTGCTCACCGACTTCCTCTCCTCCCTCATGGACTACAATCCCACGGTACGCCGCCGCCGCCGCCGCCTGCCCTAATCCCCTCTCGTCATGCCAAGTTCCGTGTTTTGATTCCGTGGCGCGGCAGATCCCGGACGAGCTCGTGGAGCACTACCTCGGCCGAAGCGGCTTCCACTGCCCCGACCTACGCCTGTGAGTACTCCCTACACATCCAATTTCTCTCCGACCAAATGTCTGGATCGGTAGTTAGGCCGAGACCCCCTTTGCTGCTCTAGGTTAATCTGGAACTGAAATTTGCCAAGCATAGTGATAATGGAGCCACATAGAGTTGTTTTAGCACGTTCTAGTTCTTTTTTTTCGAGAGTATGCAAACTGCATACCATAACTTTATAGAAGAAGAGAATTGCAAATACAAGACGACCACTCTCTGTGAACAATGAGCTTAGCACGGTGTAGTTCTAGTCTGAGAGAAATTACAGTTTCCCCTTCGACTTGGTGATTATTGGTCCACATGAATGACATGCTTTTCTTTTCTTTTGTTTCTTGTGGTCTGCAGAACAAGGCTGGTTGCTGTAGCTGCTCAAAAGTTCATTTCAGACATTGCAAGCGACTCTCTTCAGTACGTGAATCCACAATCTCACTAGTTTGCCTTTTCACCTCAATGCATTTCGTCTGTTGGTGTGAGGGAATTGCAGTATATCTTGTGCACCTCTTTGATATTGCGCTGTCCTTTCTCTTGAATTAGGCACTGCAAAGCCAGGGTTGCAGCACCTATCAAAGATAACAAGAGCAAACAACCAAAGGTGAATTTACTTCTTAATTAAAATTTCCATGTTACTTCCGTCAATTTTTTTCCATGTTACTTCTAGCACAAGACCTGGCATGCCATTCTTACTCCTTACAGTTTACTAATGACATCCTTTATTCTACTTCAGGATAGACGTCTTGTGTTGACAATGGATGATCTTTCAAAAGCCTTGCGTGAGGTAAACCATTTTCTATTACATATGAGTTTTTATTCTATGCAACAGGACACCCTTTATTACATTTGTTCTCATGTTTGAAGCCCACATACACAGAATAACAATTAGCCACTTACATTCTTAGGAGCTGAATCTCTGCACTGGTTGACCCTTGTAGACCAAGAAAATTGCTTGATGTGGTTTTGTTCCAAGAGGCAAAAATAAGAAATATCATATGGATTCAGTTTTATATGTTCTACGAACATCTTACAAGTACAAAGACACCTTACATGAAATCAGCGTTTAAGCACGGTTGCACATACTTGGAATAGGGTAACAGCCTGACACTTACATGCCTAATTGACAAATGATTTCATATAGTGTTGCCTTCTAATCACGGTTTGGGGTGACAGTACACTAACATTGAGTTATAGGGCCTGTATCTCTATAAGAAGAAACTACACAGACATCTACTATTATGGATGCTGTACATCCTCCAAATCATCCCAAGCATACATGGTTATAGAGAGATAATAAATACATAGTGTTCTCTGTACTGAAGCAGAGAATCACATGTGAATTGATGCCCTAATTAGAAAAGTAGGAAAATGAAGGCAATGTGAATGGTGTTACAAAGGTTAAGATCATAACCGTCTCCAAATTAACATGGGTAATTGTGCAATCACTAAAGATTGAATGAGTAGAAGAAGCAATCTAACCACCGTTTTCTGATCATGTTTAGTGAGAATGCTCATGCTTATAACAAACCAGCCAAACCATTATTCTCAAACAATCGGGGCACTTGTCAGATAGGTTTAAACTTACAATGTTATTAACTGATTTCCTACAAGCCTATATTGAATACACAGTATGTCTTCTAGCCACAGCTTTTCTGGTTTCTAGTTTGCTACCTTCATCAGTAATCAAGTTCTCTGTATATTTAGTTGCATGCAAGTAGTCAGGATGACATTGTTTGTAATCTTCAGCTTCAGAATCAATCTACCTTTTATCAAGGGCATGCTTCTCATGCAATATATGACAATGGGTGTTATACAGAGGGAAATGTCAAATATCCTTCATCCACTTGTCAGGCATCCTCCTGAAAATTTTTTGTTTGATATAAAAGGGTTCTAATTCCCAGAATACATGCTTGTGCAAGTTCA